AAATTTGAATTTCAGACACTTAGGTTCAAGATTATGCGAAAAATTCCATATTTTCCGTCCCGTTTTTGCTCATATCTCGGAGGCACAATGAGCAAGAACGATCATTTGTACATCATTTTAGAGAGAAATAAATAGCCTTTTTAAAAAGTGAACCATGGATGGGGAAATGTTGGCAGTTTTCTCAAAAAATGCTAGAATTCAAGAAGTTTTAGATTTGCGCTGTTTTCTTTGAGTTGCAAAATCCACTTGAACATGACGCTGCTTTTTTCGAAGTTTCTCAAGAACCATTCGAGCCAGAGAATTCGGTTTGGTATCGTTGGATAGAAAATTGAATGGGGGGGGGTCATGACCCCCCATGACCCCCCCCTGGATCCGCCCCTGATTTTGTTGTTTATAATACCGACAGACAATCTTCAAAAGACTGGCACAGATGTGCGGTTTCAATGTTACATTTGTAACGCAATCCAGCAATAATAAACACGTTCCAATGCCTGATTGATTGACTGATACTTTTGTGGTTTTATCTATCGCATGCAATTTGTTTTTGGTGTATTTTTGAAATAGTTCTTGTAATTTTTCCCCGACAAAGAAGGCGATGTTAATGCGCTGCAACAGCTGCTAATTAGCTGAAAGTGTAATTTCGAAATTTCAACCGCGTAATTTGTTTTAAATTGACTCGATTTTGCATATGCAAAATATTTCGCGTTTCATAGATAACGAGTTGGTTTAATGGCGATTAACCAGCAAAACAAAATTTAAATTTCTGTTTTATATTGGTGATGATCTCAACAATAAAGTATGTGTGCGACAGGTCTTTGTAATAGTTAATATTCCTGATATTCTCCTTCAAGAAAAAAATCATTGAATTAAACTTTTGAAGCTGTTGCAGCAGTGTTCAAGTGGATAAAATTAGTTTTATGAGTATTATCGATATGCCTTTGATTTGTTAATCGCTCTAAAGTATTCCAGGTCAAATGGAACGGCTTGTCATTTGATGTTGGCGACAAAAACGCGCAATTAGGTTGAATTAAATGGACAATAATAAGGCTTCATGACGTCTTATTATTTTAATTGCCGCATCACTTATCATTGCTCGAATATTTATTACCAAATGCGTTTATAAAAATGAATTAATCATGTATTAGTAACAGCTACAACTGGCTCGATAAGCTTTATAATTATTGTCAATATTTGGAATTCTGGTTTCAAACAGATGTGGTTGACTTATGAAGCCGTCATGAGTGATGAATTCTTATGCCTAAATTCAGGCTAGTTTTTTCCAAAAAGTAGGTAACATTTTCGGAACCGGCGCCGGCACTTTTCCGCATTCAGTGTTCACAATTCCCTTCGAGAGAACAGACTCCCCATCGTCTTTTCTATATGTTTTTTCACCTCTCTTTAAATGTTGCTGCCAAAACTGCGACTCTGTTCAATACAATTTTTTATTTCTGGTTTTCCGAGTCACTTAATAGTTTCATTGTCCGAAGCAAAGGTAGGAAACTGAGCACTGCAATTTGTCAACATACATTCTGTTTCGAAGGTGTTGATTTTCAGCCCCCTGGGGCTCAAAAACTCACAGGAAGAAATTCTTTTCCTCGATCCCTAAAGCTCGAAAAAACCCAATTTCAGGCAATTTATACGTTGATACACTGTGATTTATCTGTACTTCTTAGCGCAAACTTCTATTCACTCAATAAGGGTGCAACAACTCAAGAAGTTTTCCTTGTCTCTGGGTGGTTTGAAACCTGCGAAAACGTTCCAATGGGAAGTTAACACGAACAAGGGTTTCAAGGGTTTTTGGAAAGATGCCTGTTGCAACCCACATGTGCAAACGGTCAGATGATTATATAAAATCTGCTAATTACCCCATGGATTCTCAAAATCACACGTTCCGATGCTAATTTTTCCGACACATAACATCCAATTGCGATTAATCGTCAATTTTTGGCTATTGAATTATGTTTGCTCGAACAAAAAGGTTTGATTTTATCACCTTCATAACATCCTGTTAGCTAAAATCCTCTCAAATCTAAACCGGAACGAATCAAAGCATCACTATCTAATTACATTTGCTAATAAGTTTGAGACGTGCATTATTATTTGCTCATTAGCACGTAAATTACATAACGATCACCATTTTTTTTAGACACGAAACTATCGGATAGTGATAATGACTCGGCATTAATTCCCCAAGAGTACCTGCTATGGGATTTGTCAAGAAATACGTTGTATAAGGTTTTAAAAATCCATCAGCTCTTTAATTAGGTATTGCGAAGTAAATACAGTTATTAAAGCAATGACAATGTATGCTGGAAAACTGGTTTTTTCGATTGGTTGCTTAGACAGAAAACCGTTTTTCCTCAACTGCTCCCTATCGTTTAAAAATTTGTTTATTCCTAAATAAGGGAAGGGTAGATTTAAAATTTTTACCCTCATTAGAAGAGATCGAACTTAAATAATCCTAAAAGTTTTACAAAGATCTCCCAAAATTCGGATTTTTGCCGATTTATTAAGTATGGGTCTCAAAAAGAAAGTTCCCACTCAACTACGCCCTCTCCTTTAAATATTTGCATTTTTGAAACAAAGGCTAAAAAAGATTTCAAATTTTTACAATTCTTAGAAGACACTGCACTTAAATGATACCGAAAGTTCTATCAGAATCGCCCAAAGTCCAGATTTTTACCGAATTATTAAATTTCGATCTCGAGACGCAGGTTTCTAACCCACTTCGCCCTCACTTTTAAAAATGTGTTTCTTTCCAAAACAGGCAAGGAGATATTTGAAATTACCACCATCTGTAGACGACACGGGACTTAAATGCCACCGAAATTTTTAGAAGATTTACCCCAATATTCAGATTTTTTTCAGAATTACCAAATATCGGTCTCAAATCGCACGCATTTCCTCAACTGCACCCTCTCGTTTAAAAAACTGTTTCTCCCAAAATAAACACAGGAAAAATTTGAAACTCTCGCTCTCCTTAGACCAGACTTGACTTAAATGATACGAAATGTTTCGGATCATGAGTTTCAGAAGAATCATGAGATTTTTGCCGAATTTCGCAATATCGTCCTCAAAATGCACGTTTTTACACAACTGCGCCCTCTCCTTTAAGAATTCCCATCCTTTAAACTAAAGGTTATAAAAATGTAAATATTAGTTAACTATAAATATTATTTAACTTCTCGACTGAAATGATATCGAAAGTTTCATAAACGCAACCAAAAATCCAGATTTTTTCCGATTTAGCGAATATCGCACTCAAAACCCAGGTTTTTCACGACCGCGCTCCGTCCTTTAAAAATTCGCATTTTCCAAACTAAAGCAAGCAGAAATCTGAAATGTTGACTTGACCCGACATCTTGAATTGAAAAATCTTGACCCAAAATTTTGAAAATTTTTGCAAAATCCTGATTTTTGCCGAATTAGTAAACATCGGTCATTAAATGCACGTTTTGACTCAATTGCGCTGTCGGGTTTCAAAATTCGCTTCTTCCAAACTAAGCAAATCTGAAATTTTTATGATCTTTAGAAAACATTGGGTTGAAAAAATGCTTAAAGCTTAATATAAACTGTCCAACCTAGACAGT